TTTATATCTATAATTCATTCAAGTATGCAACAACATTATAATTTCATTAGCATATACAATGTTGTGTAAACAAACATTTCATTGATATAGAAACTCTTAATTTGACTATAACAAAAATGATCCATAAATGAATGGTCTTACACGACTAAAAAAACCTTTTTCTAATTAGACACTAAATACATCAAAAGGAAATAAATTTTAGTGTTTTTGATGTCACCACAGTCTGTGCCGTACGCGCATTACTATGTTTATTTAGATATGCATGTGGTGACCGTTGGAACCTCTTTTTCCTTGTAAAAAGGATAATATTACGCATTTATATCGTGTTTGGTATATGAACTTTTAATAAATGACATTTAATCCATGGCTCAATTCACGGCATGTTTGGATCATTCCTCCTATTAGTGTATTCTTCGGGGGGAAATGGCAAAACACAAAGTACAAGCAAACTTACATCTTTCGAAATATATATTTTGTAAGAAAATAGCAGCCACCCTTTCAGCCTTATGAAGATATCTCGAGTTGAAATGAAGCAACGCAATTAAGGATCGTGTGTTAAATAAACATGATAATTATGAGTATATGTCCACGTATGTAAACAATTTGTCTCCTATACGTTTGTAAAATGGTAATATGTATTTTTCTTATCCTTAAGTGTCGTTCAGCACGATAGTGCTATGTTTAGGTGTGTCTTTTTATATTTATTGTGATGTGGCTCAAATATTCAAACTTGAAAACTATTTATTAACCCATAGTATGTGCTGCTACTTTTTGAATTCGTCGTTTGACGTTTTATCTATGATATGCTGGCTTCATAATCTCTTATTGCCTAATCAAATTCCATTTTGTTTAGATTCACCAGTTATTTTTTTTCTTTTCTTTTCATCTTTTCTTTCGTTTAGGGCACACGTACTTTTTTCTCGCGGACCATACGCGAATGGCGCTGGTCATCAAAGTGTCACATTGAATGTTCCTAAAAACAGATCTGCATTTGTTTCTAATTTCAAAATTTTATTTTTACATTGTTAAATGTTGAAAGCAAAGATAAAAATATTCAACGGAGCTTTTTTAATAAAAATTTTATATGACTAGTTCAGAATATCGCCTCAAATCCTTGTAGCAGTCGACAGGTCTGCGATGATAAATTGGCTTACAATGATTTGGAAATTGATGTATTTTCTTTTACGAGCATAAATACGATACATCGTTCATCACTTTATCTTTTAATCATTATATAATCGTGTAAAATGCCACATGATATTTGAAGTGAAAACATGCATTGCCTCAAAAAAGACACAACAAGGTGAAAATAATACAATTCAGCCAATGTCGTCAAACTAACTCCTACTTATCCTTACAATGATTGTTCAGCACTAGGTTAGTAAATATTTATGTAAAATATACATATTATTAACATGATTTATCCGAACTGATATTAAATAATCATATTTATCATGACATTCTTTGGATGGAGGATATGATAAGATGGTTTTGTTACCCCGGCTACTATTTTATGATACTTTTGTTAAATGTATTGAAGCATCTTATAGCTAAAATGTTTAACTTTTATATAATAAATTATAGTTTGATGCCTCAGTATATCGTAACTATTATTGTCAACTCAAGATAAATATTTTACTGTGTATTGCGCAACACAACCAAAATATTACTGAAATTTTGTGTTTGAAATCAGAAATATTGTGTTGTGTTTTGTTGTTGTTTTGTTTTTTGTTGTTTTTTTTCAACAGCAATAAAATCATAGATATACATGTAATGACAATAAAGGTCTGGAGTTCACAATTCGTCTAGTAAGAAATAATAATCGAGTAATACTTCATTTTGTTACCGTTACAATTGCCCTTTTTGCAGCTTTTAGCAGAATTAAGCACTCGTATTTGGTAATGGTTTGTCTCAGAGGTGATCATAAGGCGATGATGTAACCAGTTTAATCGAAGACTTAACTGGAATTCTGACATAATGAAGAGGTGATAAAAAGGCAAATGCCAGTTTTATAATGTGCGGACCATCATCGCTCTCAACAAATAAAACAGTATTAAATGCAATATTCCAACTCAAATACATGTAAGTTATTGAAGAGACAATATAAATGAATGCATGCGTGACTTATAAAGACAATTAAGATTTGATTTTTTTTTAAAGTGATTTTTGTATAAAAAGAAGTGCTCCAAAAGATTCTGCACCTTATGCTCAACGAGGATTTTTAAGTTATATGTTACAGCTATTAAGCCGATTACAAGGTTGTCTATTCGGGAATATAACAATATGCTAAAATACTGTTGCTTTCCATATTGAGATTGTTTATAAAGATTTATATATTCTGATTTTAGGGTTAAACAGCGTGTTTACTTGTATTTGTTTTTTTTTTACAACTGTATATGACAGTTTAATGAATATTTGACCTAGATGCAATACTTCTTGATTATTTCGGTATGCTTTCAATCCCCTTCACTTTGTGTCTTGCAGTGTAAATTGCTTTCTAAAGGTATTGAAAGCATGTTCAAATGATAATCCAAATATAACTTGATATCGAATAATATAAATGAAAACATTGTTTTCTCTCAACTGTCAATATATTTACAGTGTGCGCATATGATACTCTGCATTTTTATGTTTCTTCATTTCTGTAACAAATTTGTATTGTAATTAAACAGAAATCTAAGACGACGAAAATAGAATTCTTAGATGATATCATGTTTCCTCATTTAACAATATGAGACAATTAATACAATGTATAATTATTATTGTATTTTGCTAAGGTTGAATAGATTGTAAATGGCACATTTGTTTTAGTTTTACTAACTTTTTACATTTTTCAATAACGATTTATTTATTTTTTTGTTTATTTGTTCATTTATTTATTTATATTTATTTATTAATTTATTTATTTTATTTATTTATTTATTTATTTATAACTGTATCATAATAACATTCTTACAAATTGACAAAGTCATATTTGACTAGGGCTTTAGTTACAACTTACTAAAACACAACAAATTTCTCCATAAACAGGCAAAAACGTGTATCGTTTAAGGTCAGAGACAAAATTTTTGAGTTGATTTTCATGTCATGAATGCACGCTATAGACAATATTTGAATTTTCCACTGATTCATGAATTTTTAATTACTTTTCAAATGATGACAAAGATAACTCTTTTTATGGTACTTTTCACAATCATAACACGTTGTAAAAACTCATTTATAAATGTCTAGTTTACATATAAAAATATGTTTGCATGATTATAAACGATTTAATCTTTTGTTCGTGCGTCTAAGTTATATGCAAGCATCCAAATTATCAAATGCATGCGTCTATGGTAACATTATACAATTTTAATGACTTGGAAATTTGAGAGATTTTATTTCCATGTAGTGACTAATATAGAATGTTATTTAGTTATTATAGATTACAAACATGGATGGTTTACTTCAGAGAGGAATAAAACTTGTAACATTCTTTTCAGATTACAATGTTTAAAATGGTATCATCACATGATGTTACAGGACTGTACAAGTGGTTAGAGGAATGTTTTATACTAATATTTCATTCAATATTATTGTTAAATATTTGGGCACAATTTGTTGATAATCATAGCAAGATCGAAGATTCCTTCAAAGAATTTTGAATTTTGTTGAATTTCGACTAAAATTTGCAATGATAAATAATTACAACATAAGATCAAATAAGATTAACAGCAATGGTGATAAAATTATGTGCGTTTGATACACCATCGCCTCAAAAGATTGGAATGAAAACTTATATAGTTTATACAATTAAGCTGGACAACCGTTAAAGAAATACTTCTGTATGTATTATATATAGTAAAGCTCCTTGCACCAAAGTTAAATGCGAATATAAATAACATATTGATTTAGTGTGATAATGACCAAAATTGATTTATAGAACAAAAAGAATTACGTGAATACACCAGTGATGTATATTTATTTTTTTCATATTTGAAAGACAAGAGATTCAAAAAATGTTAGCAAGTGTGGCCTGATTTTTAAATTATTTGAATGCTAGTTGTATTCTTTTTTAACATGCAATACCTCATTTTATAACTTGCTCTTTAAGTATCAAATAATCATGTTATCGCTTACAGTTTATTTTATATTTCAGATATCTGTCTAAGTGTCTGAAATAAATGAAAATAAAGACGTAAGATAATAAATGTAAAGTTTAATATGAGACCTTAAAATTCGAGGATGCATTGATACATAGGAATGTTACGAAATACTATTTATCATCTTACAGATATGAATTTGCTTTATTGCTTACGATTATTTTACAATGTAAGTTTGAATATAGATTCAACTCCAGTTTAAATTAAATATGTTATTATTTTATTAAAACAATATAAGTAGTCTGGCCTCCAAGGGCATAAGATGGACCTGAAGTGCTTTAGAAATGATAACTCTACCTATTTCTTTATACCTGGAAGAAATCAACTATGATATGCATTTCCACTTAATAGCAAATGCAGTTGTAAGTCATTTAATCACTGCCGAAATCTTTTGACTTGCAAAAGGAATACATTAAAACTTACGTCCGCTTTTTCAAAATGCGGAATATCGGAAAGAATTTGCTTTTACAGAAAGGGCTTAAGTAAGTGCGTTCTTATATTTAAGTTATATGTTCCTATCTATGACACTTGTTTATTATGAGTCAATTATTAAATTATTTTACATGCGGCGTTTCAGAGTTCATTTAGATTTTGAAATAAATCTGGCATATAAGCATTATCCATAGAATTACTTTCATGATATTAATTTTTCAAATGTGATCCACTGATTCTGCAAGCTCATAAAAAGCAAGTTAAAGTGACTTCATTTCTTTCAGCAGGAAAGTAAATAAATAGATTTATACCTACACCTACATAATTATATCAATGATGAGTCATAACCGAGAATTTCTTCACATGATATTTTAGGTTTTTGCATTTTCCAAAGGGATGACGTGAAAACAAAACAACAAACAAGAGTTGGTTTATAAAAATATTTGTATCATTTATTACAAAAATATCACAGTTAAGTGTGTTAAATAGAACGATAACAACAAAATATACACAAGTTTTCTTCAGATATATGAGTACAGTCCCGACATCAATGGCGTCACTAGAGGTAAAGTACTATTACAATGATTTCTTTCTTATACAGGCTATAACAAACCTGATTGCTGTGAGCTGACACCATTGTACCGGGACTCACTCACATCATGTACACAAAACAAGCAAATATATTCCAATTTTACTCTTATTTCCACTATGTTATAATTGTTAACTAAAAGTTGTATATTTTTTCAAGTTGACATGTACATTAAGAACTTAATACAAGAATATTCAGTTTTAGCTTCTGATAAAAACATAACATAACATAAATAGTTATAAAAAGTTTCGTATGTTGACAAAAATATAATTCAAATATTAACTTAAGAGCAAAAAGAAAAAAACGGCACCTTTTTATTTTTCTTATTTCGTTTAAAGAAAATGAAGATTTTTTTTTATTATCTGGATCGCTAAACTTGTCACGTTTTTATCTTTAATTTTGCTATAACATAAACAATTCTTTTAAAGAAAAAAACAAAAAGCGAAAAAAGATAAAGGTGCATTCATGTAATTTTTCATCACTAAAGCTAAAATAAGTCTAGATTATAACTGCGAATCCTGAAGACATCTTTAATTCTTTAAAATTGAGAACCGGATAGTAAATATACATGTACATACTGAAATAATAGTGTTTCATACGTTTGTAAATCGTTCAATATTAAGTAAGATCTTTCTTTTTAGCAATAATAGAAATACCTTTAAACCAGACTGACATAATTTAAATATACCCGGAACACGGCTGAGAGAGTTTCTCCTGTTTGAAGTACTTAGTCCAGGTGTATAACAGATGTTATATATTTTGATAACGTGTAGCACAATATCTGTCAACAAAAGTCTTATTATCGTGCGCTTAAATCATATTTATATAATATTCGTTGGAATCCAAAAAATAACACAAAATGCATGAGACGATATTCAAGCCAAACAAAATGATACATTCAATAAAGCGCATACTGTAACTATGAACTACAACATTGATAATTTGGTTTACGTTTCTATACCCTGTTATCCGTAATACCATATGTTTAATATGTAACTAAGACAACTGTTTGAAAACAGTTACAAATAATGTTAGAAAAATTACAAACAAAACAAAATGCAGTGTCTTGCCATTTATAAATATAGTACTTAGATATGTCGTTTTATACTAGTTTCGTACTAAGTAACCAAAAGGATGTAAACTGGTCAAACTAATTTTTTATATCTTAATTATGTTTTTGTTGTATTAATTAGCTTTCGTATTGTTTCCTTAGAAATTGAAATCCTCATAATATTTGACATAACACTAAATTAAAAATATAATCTCAAAAATTTCAACTTTGCTGTCTGAATCATAGTTTCAAAATCATTTGATGAAATTTACATGTTTATGTTATGATGTCATAAGATTATAATGGTGATTTTTGTTCCGATATCGAAACTACTGTTCACAACGATAAAAAAAAATTTTGTACGATTTCACACAGAAGAAAATGGATATGTACACTACACGAGTCGCCGATGGTAAAATGTGACTTTATAAATATCAACTTATCATCAATTTAATTCACAATCAATCAAAACAGTTCAAATTGATCCTATTTCAGAGCCCAGTTTTATCAACTCCATGTTTCATGTTTAAAAACTCGAGGTTCTATGTAATTATATCGTAAAAAACCGACTAGACACACTGTATTCTATAAAACATTTTGACTGACTAAGTCAAAACACTGATTGACACTTTTTTGACAAATGCACTTACACTAAAACATACCAATAAACATTTCTTAATAGCATTTACACTATCTGAGGATAATTATTACCCAGTCATATAATATATATATATATCTATAAGTCATTCAATTATGCAACAACATTATAATTTCATTAGCATATACAATTCTGTATAAACAAACATTTCATTGATATAGAAAATCTCAATTTGACTATAAAAAACTGAACAAATATATTCCATAAGAGAATGGTCCTTCACAACTTTCAGAATCCAAAAATATCACCTTTTTGTAATGAGACTCTTAATACATCAAAAGGAAATAAATATGTCATTATGAAATAACCTTTTGTCAAGCATAAAATATCTTAACATTTGATATATAGAGGTGAAGCAGCTCTGTTTAAACGTAGAAATTTTTCTAAAATATTGTATATAGCTTATACTATTACAATATACATTTCAAACACAGTAAATTTACAGTTCGTGAATTTAATGGAATATTGAACAGTCATTACTCAGAAGTTTTAATAAATCACCTCAAAATTATTATGACATCATTTTTTAAACAGTTTGTGTCTTTTTTTCATTGTTATATTTACAATTAGCATTCTACCATAAAAATATGTATTAACAGTTACCAATACAATTTACCTGTCTTGTCAAGAGCATTTTATGTAATAAAATTTCTGAATTTTTTACTTCTAAGATAGATAAATAACGGTATTCATCTAGGCATAGGTCCACTGAAGCTAACGTCATTCACGTGATCTGTTTATTTAAACCAATCATAAATCATAGATGGACTTGAATATTTTCAGAAGAGGATTCAGGTTGTGAAGGACCACCCACTTCCGGTAACTGAACACGTAAACTGAGTATTCATGCTGACCAGCACACAAAAGGCAAGCAAAGTTAGGCAGAAAAAACATTTCAAATCGACCAATAAGTGGCCATTGCACTATTATTTAGGAGTAACAAAATTTCATAAATAAATCTTATCAATTAGGCCTTTAACTCCTGTGTATTATGCCTTAAATTCTTAGAAACGTTGAGAAAACCAACTTCAAAACTTCATTTAAACATGTTTTACGACGACAATAAATTCAAATTATTATGCATTTTTCACCAAAATGTTAAACATGAACATTGTTTATTGGCTTATTTGCTAATCGCTAGAATCCAAACCAATGAAATGCAACTGGCTGGTGGATATCTCTGGCTTGGAGTTCTGTGTAATGATACTGCACAAAACAAATGTTCGAGGTCGCATGTTTTCTTTATTAAGTTCAAACATAATATGTGGGTTTGTGTCCATGATGAATTTAAAATTCAATCATTGTCTCACTACCTCTTTTATACTGATAAAAATCAAAGCCATAAATCTCCTTCGAAATGGTAACAAACACATTTAAAATGTGTGCAAAATATCAGTTTGATGTAGCAAACAAACAGTGTGAATGAACATGACGCAGTTGACGTCGATCATGTTTGTGTAAGTACATGTATTGTGTTTTCTTTTTCAAAAGCCGTTTAACAAAATTCAATGAACAGCACAGTTGAATCATCATCACTGGCGCTAATGTTAGCGTCCATCTGCACTGTATCCGCGTTATATTTTATTACCTCCGTGTTACATTTTATGATTTCCGCGTTATACTGTATTACAACGTTGTCATCCTCGGTCACTGGAATGGAATATCACTCTGAATGTTTTCACCTCACTCGTAATAATAAAAACAAAAGGAAATTGCAAACTATCGTTGGTAAGAAAAAACTAGTTCTTTGAACACTTGATATGGCGTTGATATCTTTGTGTTCTTCAACGTCTGTGCGTTCATTACTTGTATTTTGATCAGCTTGTATTTCATCGTCTATACACGGATCTGTAAAATATGAGAATACTGCTAATTGCCCAAGTAAAACAATGAAACAATTAGTTCATGCCAATATATGAAATATTGAATCTTTTAAACATATAAAAGAATATTGATAAGATTAATAGAATTTGTAAATTGTGTTATAAAAATAAGATTGAAAACGAATATCATTTTGCTGACTGTTATCTAATGCACAGAGATCTGATAATGAATTATCAATGACTATGGCCAGAAGTACAAAGCATTCTTGAAAGAATTGGAAAGCTACATGTATGTTAAATCATTACGATCTCGTACAAATATTGTCTGTATTCTCATAATATAAAATACTTTTTAGACACATTGTACTGGATTTTTTTTAAACCGACTACACTCTTTTAATATGCATATTGATTTGTTGTTTTTTTTCTATGGCACAGTCAGAAATATTCCGATGTGCGTAAACAACTTAGGCAATAAAATGAGAAGTATTGTATACAATTAGATGGAAATTATCAGCACGATAAAGAGTGAAATGAAAATTACCTGGATGATTATAGAGGAGATAATTTAGATATTGATTTGTAACTGTCCATCTATCTGATTGACAGCTGTCGTCTGACTGTAACTCCACCCCATGCTCTGTGTCAATAAACGTCTGTAATGGATTGGAAAAATTGATACTTGAAGTTATGTACCTTACACCAAGGAACAGAAAGCATGCCGTTCGGGCAGCTTGAAATATCAAATATTTGTTTGAGTGAGTAAGAAATAACTTTAAATCGAAATATTAAAAGTGTAAAAAAGTTTTTGTGGTTTAAATCTTTGTTTATATTTATTTTTCTCAGATCAAGGATATACTTGTGTATATGACTTTTGTTCTAATACCAATTAGGTTAGCGTTACATTCAACAGTAGATATGCTGGTAAATGTACATCTACTATCAAACTGAGTAATATATCCGAAAAAAAATCTAAATTAATTTCTGTTTGTTTCGTTTGATAACTGATGGCTTACATTTAGGATGTAAGTACTGCTTAAAGATAGAATTAAACTTGGAAAAATATGAGAAAAAAAATCTTTCCGGAACAAATTATGAGAAGATAATCAGACTACTTACAAGACATTTAGCTCTCTGGCCTGAATTCTGTATAATAATATAGGTTTTAGCACCTACTGTCCAACTATATAAACAATGGAGAATTTCAACTGAAAATATAAAATACAAAGGTTACATAACTACATGTTTAAGTACAAAATACGCTAATTAAGCTGCTAGAAAGTACTATAGTACAATTAATATTGTATACAGATAATTTTAATATCACTTTTTCATCCTTGGTGTTACTTTGTCTATAATTTAACAGTTTAAAGTGAAGTAAATCAAGTAAATGTCTGCACTAACCACGAAATGTGGAAATTATAACTGAAATGTGTCAGGGTTTACCTTAATTGCAATGTTCATACATCATATAAAATAAGAACATTATAATGGAACGGGAATATATGTCTTAATAAGACGCTCAAGGGTAAAGGTCTATAATTCATATTTGCTAAGACTTAATTAATCCCTGGTAATGAGTATCACTTTTACTTTAGGCGTAGGAGTGTGTATATGCTTATTTTGCGCATTAATACTTACAACAGTAAAAAGCAAATTTTGAAAGAAAACATACATTCATTTAAGTTTGAAATTAAAACATAAGTCATTACCTTTTTCAGTTTTAACGTTGTATTTATTAGCAGGACATTTTGTATCAATGGTGATCTTATTAGGAGTACTACAGCCGATGTTCACAGTCCCTCTACAGTCAGATGCTTTGTCCTGATAGTCGTATATTCCTTTCCTTGTTATACTACATTGACCCGAGTCATTTACATCAGCTGTTAAATAAAAACATAATAGTACCATGTAACATGTGTTTTAAGATCGCTTTGTGTTCAAATGTGTTCAAATCATTTAAAAAAATATGTTTATCATGAAAGCGGCTATGAGATATTGATTGTTTCCAAATTCTAAAACTTTGATAAATTTTTTTATTCCTTATCATGATTACTTTATGTTTTTCTTTTTCTTGTGTTTAGTGTCTGTCTTTTTTGCACGCTGTTCGTGCAAAAGGACGTTTTTATTCAAAAGAATAATTCGCTGTTAAATTCAAATAATTTTTGCACCACTTGAAAATTGGTCCATTTGTTTTCTTAACAAAAATTGTGTACACAAATATTTGCAAACGCTACTTTAGCTGAAGAAAACGTTCAAATACTTAAACAACAAGTTAATAAACTTACGTATAAGTAGATGTTTGGTCGCGTCATTAAATTCTTTATCCCTGCAATTGATGGACGTCCCATTGACGCGTTCTCCTGTAACACAAAACAGTTTATATTTACAATACTTATTTTTTTCTGATGATCTTTGTTTACCTTTGATCTGTAAATTGTCTTCTGCATTTTATTGACATAATTCTTTTTCTATTTGATGTTATAAAAGCTAAAGTATTTGATATTTTAAAGTAAAAGGAAAAACACATTGTTTCCTATTATATAAAAATCACATTTATTATTTTCTATATCATCAAGGCAATTCCAAAACTAATTTGTGTAATTAGTTATTGACGTAAGAATTCTGAAACAAAATATGATATGATGATATACCTAGATACATCTCTAGAATATTTTCATCTCTTTTCACCAGACGAACACACTGGTACCCGGATTCACTGAAATAAACAAATACGGGTATTTAAAACCTCTTTTTAATTAATTTATATTTCTCTATCTTTCTGGAGGCATACTATTTATTATTCGGTTACACAGTATTAAAACATGCATGTACTTTCAAGTAAATACCTACGGATAACATTCGCACAGAAACAGAGAAGTAAAGAATTGCAAAAAAGCAAAATTATTCATTTCATCATTTTTATATCTGCTTTGTGTCTGCTTCATGACTCATTAAATTAAGTTTTACCGGATCTGTGTTTTAAAACATAACTGGATTATTTACTGATTTGTCTTCAGATGTCATCATAACTTCATTAATTTTTCATAAAACTTAAGACTCCAAGATTTACGAGTTATAAAATATGGATATGAGCAAGGAATATTATACTGTAAGTTCCACTGTCGCTTACCAACTGTCGTCTGTGACGTATGTGACATAATCTGTTCGTAATACATCGGCTTTTATCGTCTCCGCGTGGTGCGTCTTCTCTACACAGCGGATAACAAGCTTTGTAGATGACGCGTCAAGATTCGTCGGTTCAGAATATTGCATTGTTCCTTTTGGTTGACGGTCTTTGAGTCTGAGCACGTGTAAACCTTGCTCGACATCGAGCAACCACTTCCCGCTCAAATCTCGCCATTTGTTTCTATTTACAAGAATGTCAGGAAAACTGCAAGACCCTCGAGGCTCATTTAGATCTGAATTCAAAATTTAAAATTGTTTCATTATATTAGCACGGCATTTAAATTGTTCAGAAAGAAACAAGATGAAACATCAAAAACAAAAATGAGTTCTATTTGTGCAACTGTCACGAGAGAATTAAAAAGATTGTACAACGTCAAAGTAATAATAATGTTGACATGTTTTACCTTTAGAGAACTTCATAGTAATGACCCCTAACGTCGGACTCTGTAGACCTTGACATGTTGAATCAGCCGACATTGACATATCTCCATTTGTACCGTAGAAACTGTGCATCTAAAAATAATAAAAATAAATAAAGAATTATACATATGAGTATAATACAAATATCTGAAAGGTACCACTGTCTATGACCATGTCACCATCCTTTACATGTACATGTAAAATACATAAGATATTTTCAAAACTGCAAACAGAATCAGTTTTTACAACCATACAAAAAGGTATGTCCGTAAAAGATAGAAGCAGCGACATTTAAAGGCACATTAACCCTAAGAAATAAGTTTATTTTTCTTCTGTAGATAGGGCACATTTTTTATAGTTATCTCCGGAAGGAAGAAGCGCCGGATAAGGTAAAAGTTTGTTCTTTATGTTCTCCGTATACGGAGGATGATTAAAGTTCTATTCTATTCTAGCCAAATGTAAAGAAAGTGGTATTTGGACTTCCAACACTTTAACTGTACTTAATTCGAAAATAAGAAAGTGAGAGTTGACTGTTGAAATTTTGAAAAAAAATAAGCTACATCAGTTTTGAGGCTTCGTGGGTCTTTAAAGATTATTTGACTCAAAAATCCTTTAAGAGGTAAAATATTATAATTGATCTAAAATATTAATTAAATGAAGCCATTTAAATTTCCTGCACATTTCCTCATTTAATGTTCAAGGTTTATTTTCCAACATTTGCAATTATTATTTTCCCATGACCTCGATTCACCTAACATTAAAATGGAATATAGTTCCATTAAAGACACCATATCTTAAAATGCCGCTACCTGCTGGGAAAGCCAACATTTGTGAAGACAAAGGGAACATAACTGACACTTATCATAAAAATGTTTTTGTCAGCACTGCATGAAACGAATTACATAAAAAAATCGCAGACATTATACATGTAATAACAATAAAAAAGGGGTGGCCATAAGTGCTACACTTTGCAGTAGAAGTTTCAGTAGATTATATTATTAACAACTTAGCCAACAGTATCATCAGTTTGTACTATAACAATAATAAGTATTTTATCAACACATCTAAGGTGTGTTCACTGTCATAAACTCAAATTTTATTTTATGGTCATTATCAATAATAAAAAAGTCTTTGAATTATCTAGATCAAAAAGAGTTTCAGGCAGTTTCCATCATTTTGTTCCCTTGCTACACTCCTGTAAATTTGGCTGCCAAAGACGTCAGAACCATAAATCTTCCATAAACTAGAAGCATATAAATCTAAGCTCTCATAATTGTAAAGCTTGCGGGGTATGATAATTATCGGAGTTATAACATTCTGTAAAAACACTGTACAAGATTGGCGTGGTTAAGATTTGTGTGTTTATATTTTTTGTCGATGTTTTCTCAGAGTAAAATATTTATTGTGATTTAGAAACATTGCATAAATTTTCATTACAGATTGGTGAACGACTTTCAGCAGCAAATTTGTTTTGTCATTATACTCTCAAAATAATATTTATATATATTGATGTTTCTTAAATATCAATATATGACTAATTTTTTGTTGATTTGTACATATGCCTTTCAGAAGAACAAAAATAAGCTTTCTTTCACTAGTGTAGCCCATAACTTAATAATTTGTTAGTCTTAAATATTCAATCATTTTGCACTCAAGTAAAACATTGGATTTTATTCCAGCCTTTTACGTAAAATGTTTATATTATTAATTAGGAAAACATGATATCTAGTTTACTCAGATTTCTTTCTGCCAATTTAGGATAATGGAACTTAATTCTGCTTCTTCCTATGTTCATAATTATAAAGCACAATCTGGTAAAATATGTAGGTTTTCAACAAATTTTGGTCTATGTTCAATATATGGAATGGTTACATGAGTTAATGGATGTATAAATGAAGAAAGACTTCTTAAATCATGCTTATATTAAAAAAGCTCAAAAGTTCAACGGGTTCACTTGAAGATCTCTTTTAATAAAAATATATGACCTCCAACGTAGAAACTTATGATTTATTAATAAACCTATAATTTGTGTGTAAGAGGAACTAAATGACTGCGAATTGAATTAATCCCGAAATAAATGATAAAACCATATGTATAAAATAGTCTACATATTCTAGAATTAGGCGCTTGCGGAGATCACATATTACGATTTATTAACATAGCCTTGAAGAAAGGATAAAGAACAAAAGCTGCAAATTTGAGAAAATAAATCAGAAGAAAAGTTTGCAAATACTTTAATAATAGAGCGAGGTAAAAACTAAAAACGAACAAGCTTAAACATAAACTACTACAGAATTAAAGTTGTATTTTATGTGCTGCTGTGGTCTCCAGCCTAGAATTTTACAGAGTTTAATTGTGAGATCGGTTTACGACAAACTTTGTTTACGACATGTTTTACGACATCGCGTTACAGCAAAATGACGCATGTTCTGTTTATGACATAAAATTTCGCGAAATTTCATATCGCGATGTAAAGATATGTATCTCAAAAGTTTATTACATTTATGTTTTAAACAGTTTATTACCGTAATAAACAATATCATAACTGGCTCGCATGATTTACGTTTAATTAAATCATAAAATAAGCACTTGAAAAATCTAAAGATATATTTATGTACTGGCTCAAAAAGAACCTTTAAAACAAAGCCGTATTTAAAGCGGTATAAAAAACAACAACATTATTCATGAAACCAAATAACCGTAAGGTCATCTTACAACGTTCAAAATAGACAATGTAATGTTTGTAAACAAATTTGTTCTCTCTCGCACTCTCTGGGAAGTTGACATTCTCAATGTTTTTGTGACATCTGGTATTCTAAGTTGTAGATGGCGTTTTACATATTATAAGTTTTTAAAGCATTTCCTCATGGATGATGTTTATTATGTCCATGATTGTACTTTAATACTAATTTGTTTGCATCCGGTAGAAATAAGAGTCCTTTACATGTACCATAATGTATGCATAAAACTAAGATAGATAATGAAAAGTATTACCACTTTTAGCCGCTTTTATCATGTATACAATGTCTGGGAGAGTAAGGAAATCTTTAAACATACATTGAATGGATAATAATGTAAAGGCGGTGTTCTCTGAAAATATGCGTTTTACGTCATTAATACTTACGAAGCATCTGTACTGATAGTCGTCCACACTTGTCATCCAGGGCTCGGAAAAACTACCATACAAATATTTGTCTCCATTTTCCCAAGATGCCAGGCATTGAAAGTCCATAGCTGCAAAATATGTCAAACGAATACTTTAATATACAACACAACATAAATTTAAATATTTAAACTTTACGTGTTTGTTATAAATTACAAGCGTTTGATATTACATCTGAAATGGACAATGTTCTCAAACAATTTAAGACAAATTGCTCATGCTTCAAACTATTCTACTTTTATAATCAGTCAATTTTTGACATATAACATTGAATCATGTTATTTTACTTATCATAATGATGATATGAAATTATGTATTTCTCAGTCAAAAATGAAATTTAAAATGGATTTAAAATCAAACATACCTCTATCATGTGTCCCTGGAATTCTATTGCACTTTTTGAAAATAAATTTGAATTTTGATTCATCTGCACATGCGCGAACTTCCGAAAGTGGTGAATCGCACTGCTGGTTGCTCATGGTTCCATTTGTGTATGAGAATGTGTATGAGCCATGGAATGGACACGTGACCGGAAGTCGTGGTAGACTCGGAGGTGAGCTGGGTGCTGCAAAAAGTCGTAATATATGTTGATATTAATCGTATACAAACTAAAATGTGAAAACTGTTATAGATAATGATAAAAAAACCTCGAGTATAATTATTATTAGCGTTAAAACAATGGTATAGCAAATGGCAAGCCCATTGTATCCTCTTTTTCAAAAAAAAAAGATTATTTAAAAATAACCCATACTAAGTATGAACATTTCATTGAGGTACATATGAACACCAGACTTTTCAATAATTCTCTTAAAACGCATACAGTTGATTATAAATAATAAATGAATATAAAACATTAATAATCTATAAAGAGGATTACGGTGTTTTCACAATATTCCAGATAAAAGTAATATGTGGAAAATAAAACATTTTCTCATTATATGCTCATCCAAACGCACAAAAAGACTGCACTTATACTGTAGTTTATGATTTCAAAATGATGTAAGCGGCATTTACAGAATGGCTCTTGGTTCTATATACAATGTATATAATTATAAAGTAATATAATTTACAATGATTGCTTTGCAACAAAATTAATAAATATTTGCAATACATTCGCCTGCATCTGGAAAACAAATTTTAAACCAAAGTTATTCAAAATTAGGTAAAAGTTAAATAGTTCTCCGATTCCAACCCTGCTGATAGTTCTGCTATTTTTCACAATCATTTAATGCCGCAAAAAACTCATTAATAAATGTCTAATTTAGAACGTGCTTTACCGTGAAACGTATACGCGATTATAGACGATTAACTTTGTTGTTCAAAGGCCTAAATTATAGATTACATGCGTTAGTAGAGGCATTATGCAAACTTAATAATTTGGAAATTCTAGACTTTTTATATCCATTTAATGACTAGTTCAGAATGCTGTTTAGTTTATGACATGCATTATATAGAGCTCGGAACTGTCGACAGCGGTTATAAATTGGCTTATAATGAATTGAAAATTGATGGGTTTTCTTTGGAGAAGAATAAAACTGGAAACATTATCGTATATGTTTTATTATTAGTAAAAAGAGGGAAAAAACATGTTCAAATGGAATGGCATTATTTATTGATCCAGTAAAAATGAATAGTTTTATTGACTTTATATGTGAGAAACTGTTTGTACCATATTTAATGCCAACACTAATCATAGTTCTAGTATTTTTCACATAACGACGATTGAATAGAACTTATGTTAAGCCATGTTGGAATATATACTGTAGACCTTCTTTACTTCTTACACATTACAGCGTTCATTACTCGTCTGATTATTATTTACCCCTAATGCCGCTGACCTATAGTATACTTGCTCTGAACTTTTACAAAATATTTTAACAAAAAGCTAATACTGAGTAGCCGCCAGCAAAGAAAAATAACTGAAACAGAATGTCCTATAATTCTATTTGAAACAATTGTATGATTCAACTTAAAATACCAAAACGATAATGAAAGCAAGCGTTGTTAATAATATTTCAAATCTGGACTCGTTCTGAAGCTCTGCAGTCAACATTGACTAAGAATCGTTAATGGCCTTCATGTCGCAACATTTCTATAATGATAGGGTAACAAAGGTAACGATATGGACAAACATTAGATAGCATGTTATAACTATCTAAATAGAAGGTAGTTGATAAACGAACATCAAAGGCGATGATGACAGAGCATCTGGGGTGATTATTCTAATACGTCACTAGCGGTACGTTCTTTTTTTAATTCGGAATTCTCTACAAAAGATAAAAAAAATCCACTACAGTGGAAATTATACATTGCAACAGTAACATTATCATTCGAAATTTAATCAGTCGTGTTGCTGTTTTAATTTCCTTTTATCCTTACTTTTACTTTTAAATTCAGAAATCTTTTGATTATAGAGGGAAACATGCAGAAAAAATCCTTATCAAACACATTCTTTGTAATGTAATTCATCAAGGGGCATAGAGGCATATCACAACAAATAGATTTATCTCGTAAAAACAAAGAAAACCATTTCATTATGTTTTCATAATAGCCTAATTAAAACGAATTATGAAGATCTACTTCTTCAGAAAATGTCTAAAATTGCGATATTTACGTCCTCAGAAGTAATCTTTGCGTCTCAAACCCTGAAATTACCTTCAAATAATTAGTGCTTATTGGAATACACATTTAATTATACATTGCGAATCCCAGTTTTTCATTTAATTAGACTCAACATGAATCTCGTATAATATCGCATGTTTCACAATGTGTGATTACTGGTCTAAACTCCGTGCTATAACGTACCCGGAATCCAATTAGTAATTTGCCTTCAGCAAGGTGTAACGGCACAACATGGTTATTATACGTCTAGGAAACTAAATCGGTGAGTCATTATTTCTTGTTTTACAGGATTTATTGCAATGATATCAGAATGGACTGTTCGGTAGATTTAGTAGTTCATGCTTATTTTTAAATAATTAAAAACCTTAAGGAGAGGTCTTAGAATGTACTACAGTTAAACTGTAAGTATCCAAGTTATATTTCGTACCTTCTATTAAAGAGTCGTCCTATTACTCCCTTTCTCAATGCCGAATCTTTTAAAACCATCATAATTTTGAATATTCTTGCGTTACCGTAATGCTAGCTATTTCCTTTTCATTTTTATTGTTGTTGTTCATCGTGTATAAAATGTCTTTATATATCTTTTGACAATGGAATATTCTAAAAAAAACTTTCAATGTGATATACCTTAAACTGTATTTTCTATTAAACTTTATTTTCTAAAACAAGAATCTTAATTATAAAGATTGTAACAGAAGAACAATTGTAAGAATTACTTTCAAGACTAAAACAATAATGATTTTAAGAATGCAACGCGTAGTTAGTGACGGAAAATAAAATTGTAAACTTGTTTCGTAATTTTGATAATTAAACGACTTCTGGTATACAAAAATATAACAATATTACGACTCATTAACAGCTAGTTATTTCAAACAGAAACAAGTAGCCCAGGTGCGTATGAATACAAAACTGACGGTAATAAGGTCATTAAAATTTTCACAGACATGTTTAATTACAGATCGTCTTGTTGGTGGAATAAATTTTGAAATATCACAGATGCTTAAGAAGTGAACTAATAATACCAGACCATTAATGCCAAACTGATATAATTACGCTGAATGTCATCTTCTTTAAACACTTACAGTTTTTGATAGGTAAATAAAGACTAGGAATCACATTCTAAGAAACGTAGAACTATTTCGCTATATTTTCTGTTGGAGAAAGTTTATTGTTCAAATTTTTTCCGTTGCATTAATATGTATTAAGAATATATTCCTTTGTCAATTTTCTTTAAGAAAACGTATTTGTCAGCATTACAGCATAAATGAGTAAATGATGACGTCATATATTTGGAAGTATTCTCCAGGTAGATATATTTCTGGACAAATAGCCTTTCCATTATTGTTCACTACAGAAAAGACAACTTGGAAAGATATCTGCAATTTGTAGAACTTTTTGTACAAATGTCTATGAGCACACATCGGTTGTCTCCCTTGACACGATTTGTCCTCCATAAATACAACATATAGACAGTATAATCTGATGGCGAGATCTTTAATGGAACCAAAATTGAATTTGATAATTCAATAAAGCCCCGGACCCTCCGTGCAGAATCTAAATATCGGTAGCGTCAGCTCTTATTAGCCTGTTTTATATCTGATATAATAAGATAAGAGTTTTATTTGATTGTGTCGAAAGCATTTTCTTGTCAAATAAAAGAGCAGTTAATTTATGGTTTTATGTGACCATGTTTTGGGTGACGGTCCTTGTTTATATGCCTGTTTTGATTTCTTTTTCCAATGAAACACGAAAACTTCTTTAATTCACTTTTCTTAAATTGCGTTTTTAGGTTTCTGGAAGAAGACAATATTGTACGTGCTACAAAAGAAGGAATGCTGCACGAGTTATGAATAACAATTAGTTTGAAATATGAGAAATTGTGGTTGCAGTCTTGAAATAAATTCGAAAACAGTTTTCATTCTTGGTAATGGACCAGTCTCCGTACTTAAAAAAAAAGAAATGTTTCTGCGTTCAATTCAAGATTGAAATCCACGAAAATAAGTTGAAATATTTGATTCTTATGCATGAATATATTATACATGCATATGACCCAAAAAAGGCGTTCAGTAAAGTATGCTTCCTTTTTGGTATTTTGTAATTCAGCCAGATAGGGATGAACTCGTCCTAGGGCAATAATATGTCATTTCTGAAATAACAACACAGTCTAGACAGGGAGATAAAGAAACAATATGATCGGAAGGCATCAAGAAAGAATTATAGCAGATTTCATACAATCACCATCTTCGTATAACAATCTTTCGACAAGACAATTCATTACAAACAAATAATGCCGTGCATATTGTATAGCTAAATATCAGTACTTGAGATTTACATAGTAGGACAATTGCGTGTCATCAAACAAGAACCCATAACTGATTCTGTTTAAACATTAGATAGTGCAAGAAAACCTTCTTATAAGGTTCTCTATAAATATTTTGCATAAATAAAACAATTAACTTTACTTATAACTATATGATGCTGCATATTTGTTACGGCGATTTTCATTGAATACTCGTGATGCTTATATAATGAATACAAACTAAAGAAAATAGTGCTGTATTATAAATTCGTTATACAATTTTGGACAGGTTATATGGCTGTGCTTAAATGCTTATTTTCTTTGGAACCTTTGTTACTTGGGTCATATAACACGTCAAAACTCTTTATAACTAAGATTCCTGATGATGATACACATAATATGAATTACGTTATGAATAAAGAGATAACGTTATAATAAGATTATATATGAAATATGCTCGTAAATTGAGGCATCGAAGTATAGACACCTCATAGCGCTATAGAAATATAATTCCCACGAGAGGGCGCTTGTCAGTTGTAAGTCTTTATAGCATTCTGTAATCGCCATCAATAATGCCAACACAAGTTTTATCCAACCTAAATGATGGCTACTTGTGTGTTAAGGCCAGATTATCAGCCTACTTAAACTTAAACTCGAAGTCATTCCGACGGATAAGATGACAGCCGCCCCTTTTCTGATATGAGCCGCGTCACGACAAAACCAACATAATGGGTTTGCAACAAGCATGGATCCAGACCAGCCTGCGCATCCGCGCAGTCTGATCAGTATCCATGCTGTTCGCTTACAGACCCTTTAAAAATTAGAGAAACTGATAGCGAACAGCATTGATCCTGATCAGACTGCGCGGATAAAATTAGAGAAACTGATAGCGAACAGCATGGATCCTGATCAGACTGCGCGGATGCGCAGGCTGGTCTGGATCCATGCTGGTCGCAAACCCATTATGTTGGTTTTGTCGTGACGCGGCTCATATGGTTTGATCAGCTTAAAGATAATGCATATTTTTCAACATTATACATGTATTTCGAAGAAACCATATTTTGCTTAGTAACAGAGCTTATATATCTCAGACTGAGGAAACATGTCCAACTGGTAAATACATGTCTACCTTAAAATTTATATATTTTTATCTTGTCTTTTTTTAATCTGACGAAAATAGATATTATTCATTGTTTATTGTCTCTTTCAATAAGAAGAATTAATGTACCTTTAGAGTAATATACAGACGGATGGTTTGAAGCAAATATTTGCAAGCAAATCAATATTCTCGTATTTAAAATCAGATTTTTCCTCACAGAGAATATTGCATCTACATGCGCTATACGCTGTTTCAACGGATTGTCTTATATTGATTGATAATGATGAATCTGATTTCAATTTCGCTTCATGTATATAGAGCTAGGAATAGTGTCAGGCCACGTATCAATCAGACGCGCACGCTTAATTAGAACCTCTACTAAACCAGATAAATTGCTTTCAAATTGACTGCTAATATTCGCACTGATACATTTCTTATACTCTTGCAGATATTGGGGAAAAAACTTGATCTGAAAGGAGATGAATAGATAGCTGTGAGTCAGACTTCTAAACTTAACTAATTCCATCACTTTGATTCCGGATAACGATTCTACTTGTCGGAACAAAGCGCATTTTACGGATAAAAAGCATGTTTGTGCATTAATTGATCGTCTTAGATATGCAGGAAAAGTTACATGTTTCAATGAATAAATCGTTGACAATGTAATTGAAACTTTGATACGCCATTAAAGAATCGAATTCTGAAAACAGAAATAAATACTCTAGATATTTTATCCGGTGATATGTTACATCCGGGCACCACGATAAAGATCTTAAAGCTGACATTGCAATCTATTTAGCGTCGCTACCATGTCATAATTTTAATGTCACTTACATCACAAAGCTGGCTTTGTTAAAGCTTTTTGATAAACTACTGGTAACTTAAAACATTTCTAAGCATCTAAGGATCTTACACAATGCAATATAAAGGGCCATGAGAAGTGGAAAATGGTAAGCGTCTAGGACATAAAAAAACATTAAACAGCAAAATTATCCTAATTAGCAATTGTAAGATTCTAACCAAACCTTAAAAACAAAGAATGAAATATCTTCAGCTGTCAATATTACATGTTTAGTTATATGTGTACATGAGGATATTTGAACTATCGTACATGATCGAAGAAGACTTCCCATAATTCCAACAAACTTCCTGCTTAGTGAACAAGATATGATTGAGAATCAAGTCAAAGTTTACGATATTTCATGATCAAATTGTTCCAATTTTCTTCCAGAGATGTGCTCGGTAATAGCAAATGAATGTTGACCAAATTAAATCAAGCCAGTGTGATTGCGCTCTCAAATACATAGAGTGACCGGTGTTAATTCTATCTAATAGGAGGGAGTATGGCAATTTTATCATGTTTGAAGATTCCCCGAGTGAATGCCTTAAATTGCTTTATATGCCACGAACACGCTGTCAGTGTTATAATTATATTAACATGTGCCTATTTTATACACACGAAAAATACGTGCATCAGTAAAGAATGATCACCTAGAGATGAAGTGCAGAACATTTTTGAGATATTGTGGAGAAAAAATATCAAAATATTCATCGCGGATAAGTTCAAGACAATCAGAAGAAAGCTTATTACGAATTTAAAATAAAACCATAAAGATTACATGTTGAGTCTAGATTATTAAAGGCAATTTTAGAAGCCCTTAAATTCAAGCATTTTATGGCGCCTTGTTATACGGTATGAAGCTTTCTTTTGAGTTTTTAATCAAGATAACTGTATCTACACAATATATATTAGAATGGCATATTCCCCTCGTGTATGTGAAATAAGGAGAATTCTAAAATATGTCTATAAGTTGGAGTGTGCTATGAAATAGACTGCAACACTCTTGGGACTTCACTTTCGATTAACCACTATTTCTTGGTTCAATGCCCTTCACGTCCCGAAACTCATGACATTACTTTTATTGATATCTACATATATATAATATTTGTCCTGTATAAATACATATCATCCTAACTGTCTACAACAATTCGGAGTTATATACAAAATAAATGACAATTTTCTGTAAATAACTGTGAATTATATACCATGGCGGTTCGAAAAAAATGGATAGATCTCACGAACAAATGAATAATAATAACATGACGTCATGGATTTAAAACTCTTTGATTGTTTTTCTATTCATTTTCCAATACCTATTACAGTATATGAATTACAATAGTCTATCAATTGCATCTTGAAATGTTGAACTTCCTACCCTTTGTTACATAACACCTTTTCCCCCGTCCTTTCAAAATTGCATTTATATATAGATTTCAAACTCCACAGAACAATCAAAAGATTGCACGGAAGAAAAAAACAACTGATATTGTATTCTAAAAAAATCCAGGAAAAGTAGCTTTGATTTGGAGGACAAACAATAAGTTCAACAAATGTAGTCGTTAATGTGACAGAATCCATTTAACACATCGTATCAAAACTGAATTAACAGCTTCAATTTCTAAAATTTGAAGAAATTAATTGAAAACTTCACGACATAGTGAAACCAAACAGACCTTATACAATTTCAAATGTATTTTAAAGTTTCTTTTTCAATCGTTGATCCATATAGAAACGTCTGCTCAAATGATAATAATGCGTGCGTCTACAGTTTAATTGTTTTGATTTACATAGACATTAAATCTCACAATTCAAACAATCTACGACCTTGTTGAATATAATACAAAATGGCGCCATCCAATATGAGCATTTTCTCGTTAGCTAAGAGAAGAAGTATTTGTTTTCTTAAAGCGTCCTTTCTTTTAGAGATTCTTAAATTTTAAAATAGATTTTAGATGGATTCCTATAATTATTATCGAAGCATGTTTTGTCTATTTTGCTATATTATAGTAAGCATGTGTTCGATTAAAATATATCATATATGATTTATTGGAGACACTAGCAACCATGCCATATCGCGGCAAAATCTTTCTTAGAATGCAATATAATTTATAGCAACTGAATCAATCTTTTCCGATGCAATATTTTACCGAAAATAGACACATTTTTAGGAAGATTCTGTTAGCTTTAAAAAATAGAGAATATTATAAATCTGTCATAAGACAATAGTACGATGCGACACTACGCCCCCTTTGCGTTTCGGCCCCTGCCGTAAACTGACTTACTTTTTATTATAATTTATAAAAAATACTATCAAAAAAGCACTCTTATTTACTATTATATTACAGTTTTATATTCACATTATTCAAGATTTTATTTATCTTTATAACAAGTTATCGAAAATTTTTCAAGAGTCACTCAGCATCAATCCATTTCATGCAATATTAATGCATTTTCTAAGGATTTCACGCCTTAAAATTAAACTTAAATCAACTTTGAAGTACAACGTGGCGGGAGGAGTGAAATGTATAAGTGTCAGAATCGGTGTATGTTTGTAAGGAAAGGAATGTGATAAATAAGTAATGTAAATAAGGAAACAAACCTCTGACTAGTGTATGTAATATTGTATCTCCATTGATAAGACCACAAACGTGGTGAAACTTTTGCTCGTACCAACACGGACCTAAAATAAAACCAAAGAATAATAATTATAACAAAGTATTGACATTTGAAAATGATGATGATGATCACACGTATATATGTATATAACTTAATTACTTTAAAAAAAGAATATATTTGTTAAAATTAGGTATATATAACTAATTTATAACTAATATTTCATCTTTTTTCTTTCTTTTTTGTATAAAAAAGATGAAATAACTAAGTTTTCTATCATTAATGTTATGCCGAAATACAATTTCCAAGTGCTATTGTGGAGAAAAGAACTCTTCTCGAATAAGTTAACATTATAAAATAATGTATAAGCACGTCTGATATTTAAAATTGAAACCAAATTATATTAAAAGCTTTTTTTCTTTCAGGTGCTTTGAAGAGCAGCAAAGCATTCCCTGAGTTCCTCTTCAATAATTGATTTTGCTGCAAACTTAATTTTATATAACAGAAGTAAAGGAAGCTTTTAGATTTCAGACAAGACTAACATATAGGTCTCATTTGAACAGACAGTTAAGGCCATTTTTTGTAAAAATTTACATGTTCATAAAGTTTATGTGTTGTGTCTTTTTCCCTTTAAATGCCGTATTCACGCTCAGATATGTCATTTATATCAAAGCTGAAATTAAACAGACTCAAATAAAACACGAGGCAACATTTATATGAGTTTGTTTGCAAACTCAACTAGTTTAATGGGGACTTTTCCCATAAAACGAAAATGCTTCGTTTTGCTTATCTTCACGACGATATGTATTTTACGACGACACCAGGATTGCTTATTTTAAGACCCCGATAATAAAATGCGGGGCAAAATAATTGTAAATGCGGAGAATCGAGATTTCCCTGATAGTGTCATAATGTTTTGACAAAAATGCATACAAAGTATGAAAATATAATCATACGTCGGAAACACAAGGCATTGAAACAAATCCGGAGCTTCATTATTGGTCCATAAAAAATAACCGAAGTAGACATAAAAATTATTCATGCATATGGTTATTTCACCAATTTTCTCCAAGCATTTCCTTTAGTGAATAAATTTGTGACATAAAGATACTCATAAAGTGACCCATGAATACGTCTATTATGCTAATCGATTCATAGCAGCAAGTATAAAATGTCTCTTACTTATTTCTTTCTTCTTTTCCGTATATTAGTAGACCGAGTGCATACAATCTTACGTTTTAAGCAAATATTGCAGACAGACGGTTTGGTTAAACGTCACTAAATTAAGATGATATTTATTTCTGACTACATTAACGTTTGGACTGTCTCAGCATATATCTGTTAGTTAGCAAAACGCAAAAGAATGATAATATGAAACAAAACATGAAATCATAACTTCAACGCCCACTTTACATTTTTCTACAAATTAATGTAAAACTATTGCCAAATGATGGTGTTTCACTACAGTATATGCTAGCTAGCCTTCGGAGGAAGATGATTGAATAGAAAGCATTGTTCTGATATGTACGATTTATTAAAATTGTGTTTAATCAAGTGTATATAAAGCTTGAAAACTAATGGAATTCCGTAAATTATAGATCAAATGATGAGACCCTAAAGTAATGTCAGGACGACTGTGAATGAAAATTATCTGGCTGTATTTTTCTTCTGAAATATTATTTTTTACTTTTAATATAAGACCAGAATAGTAACGTCGGGGTTTAAAAGTGCTCGTGTAGCAAATTATCGGTGGTAAGTCATAAAGAAAACATATCTGTGAGGTTATATACGTTGAAATACAGCTTCTTCTTCTTCTCGACACTCCATTATCTTCGAGCTGTGAAACACGGACTGATTGCCACGTCATTACCATCATTATCAGGAGTCACTGTTTTATTATAAAGATAGAAAGGGGCGCGTAATAACGTGCCATCTTGAATTGATTCAAATGCGTCTTTAATGATCCGTTAAGTGAAAACCATGGAACTTTTAAATTAAGCTCATCTCATTTTATTTTGCCCCGCTAATAAAACCTGTAAGTGATTTTTTTAGTCTTTAAGAGAAATAAGGTTGTAGAGGAAAAAACTCGAATCAGCTTCTATGATTGATTGATCATTAACAAAAAATATAAAATAAAAAAATACTGTACGGTTCAATGACTGGAACTTAAGCGTTATCTGTCTTATTATATGATTCAATGTAACCTACTGTATGATTTTATCAAAGGTATGTTGACCGACAGTTATCATTATAACAGGTGCTGTGATATTACATAAATGAAACTTAGCATGGAGGCAGATACAGAGTAATCCTCATCATTCACTTATCTAGACAGGGCCATTATGCTTGATAACCTAGCAACGCTGCCGAGAAAACTAGGCCATTCATTCATGAATTCCTTTTGCACAAACATACCAGAATAAATCAATTTCCAAACGACACAAATACATATATTCTTTGTTTTCAAGGAACAATCAAACCCGGCTTTGTTAAAAAAAACAGATCTTAGTTATATAGCACACAGGAAACTACTCTCGATTTTTGTGCTAAATTTACTTTCCTGTTCGCTGACCCTAATCGAGTAAATCACCTGTATGTCTTGTAAATGCAAATGTAGCATATGTAATTGTTTTTGGCAGACACACACTTCAGCGTTTCTGACTCCAATCATTTGTTATTTGCACGGATTCCACAATGTGATGAGTTTAGTCCAGTAAATGTCTGTGTATTTACACAAGAACGCCATGCGGACAAGACCCCGGTCTGAAGTTAATTAGAAGTGATACATTCAAGACATACAAGAGAAGTCGTGCTTATCACAATTCAAAACATGTTCTCTCTCAATACAATCAAATGTTTTGCTGAAGCGTTCACTATTTCCGCAAAATGTTACACAGTTATTACCAAATATAACATATTAACTTTCATGTTTTAGTTAATGTTGTTGCCAGTTTTCAAACAATTGGTGGCATATTTGTTTAGAAAATGTTCTTGGTTTTCAACTAACAAAATAGTTACACTTCAAACAAAAAAGGCGATTCAGTACAAGAAATGGCAGCATAGAAAATAATTGAATGCTTCCTACAATTTAGGTTTTCTACAAATTCGCTCGAAAATGTTTCTATTTCATTGCCATAGCCATGGGTTAACAATTAAACAATGAAGTATAAACACCATTATATACATTGTAATATATTTTTGTCGATGACATGTTTATTTTCCGTACGTGTAACATGACTTTATTTTCATTTCAGTTTAGTTGAAACATATTCTTTTTGCATGAACGGAGTTCTTTACAGCATGTAATGATTGGAAACTAATAAATATAAAACAGTGTGCTTTGATTAAACATGGAAATAGACTTTTATAGTCAGTTTATATTATATCGCAAAAAATAAATGAATTAAGGATTTTACATGGGGGAAAAAAATAAAGACTTAAAAGTTTGACATCTCTTCTTGAAACATTTAAAGAAAATATAACAGTACTGCTTCTTAAAAAACAGGGTATTTTATAAATATGATATCACCTATTATTGGATCAAATATTATCAAAGCTTTACGTTTCAAATCAAATTTGACAGTATATTTTCGGACAAGTTTCACATCATCTCTTCTTTGAATTGTAAAATGGAAATGGTAATTCTGCACGTGCATAAAGGGAAGTCTTAAGTCACTGTATTGATCACTCTAGTAACTGATGTCGGTTTTAATTTGTCTTAAATAAGAACATTACAGCCAGAAAGAGTTAGATAAATCCAGGAAATAAATGATTCATCGCTTAAAACATCAATAATAAAAAATGACATGAAACATTTGAAAAATCACCAAACTGTTTGCAAACGTTCTAAGAATGTGTACGTCGCGTGAAGATTATTAATGATGAATGCGTGGAGATAAATGCTCTGCCGACCTGGGGTCCATCTTATACCAACGTGATTGATAGATCCCCGTGTTTTTCTACCATTTACCACGTGCTTAATGGATTTGTTTGTTGTTACAAGCGGTATACAGTTTCTTAAAGACTTGCAAAGCTGATACTTTGTATTTTAAAAGGTATGACGATAATGCTTTGACTTTTAATGTTCCAAATATTTTCATATGTTCCAGATGAGTACAACTCATTATGTTTAAGCCTCTGTAGGTGTCCGATTCTTACCAGACTGACCGCAGCTTGGACACTTGAAAAATGTGCTAAATCAATTAAGAGTACATTTAGTTTTAACGAGGCACGGTACATGATCAAAAGTATCAAACCCCGGTTTACTGTTGGAATCGTTTAAAGCAAAATTGCTGCTCCTTATATTTCTTAATTACAGTTTCTCAATTTCCTTCTCAAACTTTGAAACTTCACACTGTTTCATCTGAGAGACACGACAAAGGGAACTCAAATATTCTTATTTGAAAAAAAATATCTCAGACCAAATAATGATATATGATCAGGCCATCAATTGATGAAATTCAGTCATCACCATGAATCAATTTATAGTCATTATTCCATATATGTTACAAACCACCGTAAAGAGTGACAAGTCATTGTTAAAACAATAGTAACTTATAGAAACGGAACAAGGGTGCTTCAATGAATAAAAGTAGTATACGTATTTAACAGACTTCAAGCAACCACAATTATTTTATATAGTAGCGATCATGTTTGAAGTGGTTCAATACGTATTTCATATAAATTGTCCAATCAATGATCACTAACTTTATTTCTGTCCTTGACATTCAAAGAAAACAATATACATGTACGAGTAAGTAAAAAAATGTTTGAAATTAATCAGAGGATCATTCGCTTTTGTCTTCTGTTTGCCAAGCAATAGATCCTAAATCTCGCCGAGAAGATTTTTTCATTCACAACTCTGTCAAAGTGTTACATTTTGAAGTAATTTGTTTTTGCTTTTTTTCTGAGTAAACTTTTTTCCCGTTACCATAGAGTTTGTTAGAAAATAAAATAACGCCGTGTTCATCCGCTGATTATTACCAATAATTCCTCCACTGGTTTCCGCTGTGTATTGTAAAAGTCGAAATAAATAAAACGGCATGCAATCACTTTCAAAATTATCTTTACTTAGAAAGAGTTCAATGAATGTAAATTACAGGTTATATGGCGGTAACATGTATGTTTTGTCGAGGAAAAAATTGAAACATCTCCATGGCAACTAATTAAGACATAATGGAATAAAACCTTTTTTGTGAATCGATCGCGTTTATTTTTTATCAATAAAATATGTAATGAAATTACAGACACCAACAAACACTGATTAGAAAAGGTATTGTTACAGTTATAATCGTACTAGCGTAATCATATTGATCATCGGTGGTTAAAGTCAGTTGCGAATGCGAGAACATTTATGGCGAAATCGTCTGAATGAAATTGATTTAATGTTGAGCACTGGCGCCAACCTGGCACATGTTGGACGCTTGCCTGACGGAGGTTGTTGTACCGCAGTGACTGACACCTGCACTATTACAATCGTCACGTTATCACCTATAGCAGTTTGATTACTTTTGGCTTCGAGCTTTTTTGTCACTCTGCTCTTTCATGTTTTGGACTTGCTCCTTATTTCTTACATATTAACCTTCAGTGGAGTGTACGTTGTTGTAATGTTGTCCAAGACTTTCAGTTGATTATCTAAATAAAGGTTTAACCGCGTTTTAACTTTCATCTGTTTTTGCCAAAAAAAAAGAGAGAAAAGGCATCACCTAATGTTTAAGAAGCATTCTTCCAAATGCATTATAAATCATTCCTGTGTCATTTGTGTTTTGTAAATATTGTGGCAAGTTTGCTGCGTTTTTATTTCTTTTTTCTTTATTTCTTTTTTTATTTGGACAAGAGCAATGAGCCTTTGATAGATAGTTACCCAACAGCTTGATATCGGAGAATTACGTCTGCCTTGCTTTTCGTAACAGCTCTCAAAATATGATAAATGAAATACAAACAGAAAACTGAGCATCTTCAATCAAACACTGATGTAACAGTATGCGGACAAGGGTTTCTGTTTCCGTTATAATGATTAAATGGTATCAACTCTTACAATCTGTCATTTCATTTTAAATCATAAATGCATTGTTTGCAAGAATGTATTATTTCACTATTCGTTCTGTTACACGAGTAATGACAAAGAGATCACATGCCGTGTTGTGATAAAACAGACAGAGAAAAATTGTCATATTTTTCAAGCAATATTAACATTTTACTGCTACATATATCAGAGCATAACAACATTTCAGCGTCATTTGGAACAATGCTTTGAAAGACGTATATAACACGTGATTGATCAAGCTGTCAGAATTACACGCTGTGCATCTCACTTCTATATCTGTCAAAATTTAATTTATTATCAGAATATATAAACGCATAAACGAACGTTAATACGACCCAACGTACATTGTCTTGTTTGCTTGTTTGTTTTTACCCCGGTTTTGACAAATTTTCCTGGATAACTAACCAGTAATCACCAATTTCTCACAAGTAAACGGTTACATATCATACATGAATTCTAAATCCGCAATGAGAGACAAAAGGCCTTATGACACAATGTCCGAAATCAATTTTCACGGAGCAGTTACGCCACGCCCTGAAACATCAAAGATCAAACCTTCGACCTTGGATTACTAATCCAATGATCTTCCTGTTGAGATACGCGGGAGTATCTTTATCTGCGCGTTGCAGACGACAAGTCTTATATTTCTAGCAATTCACGTGATGTAAACGCTGCACATAAATTTTGTTTTTGACGTATTACTTATAGCCACTTGATATGTACTCTATTGTAGCAATAATAGTGTACCATATGGCGTTTTCTCAAGAAAATCTCTTCATAAGCTCTTCAAACGACTTCCCGCCTCTTTATATGCTCTCTATTCTTGCCATTATAAAACGGTAAATGCCTCCATGTAACAATTTATAAATCACACATTGTTTATATACTTACTCTCTTTATACTGTAGAAGATTTAGATGCCACTGGGTGAACACAAGACATGTGAAACATTTTCTATTAGTAGCATCTCTGGAAAAAAAGAAGGAAGAAAGAAAATTATTTTCTAGATAAAGAGACATAAACTAAGTAAACTGTCAGGCACATATGGTGAAAAATATATAGTAGTAATAGGCAGACTTCACAGAAAGTATCATATCAACTCAGAACATATCAACATGAAGTAACAAACAATATAATATATAAATGGTTAACCAATCCCCTTTGACAAACAGTTGAGTGTAACTGACAACTACATTTCATACACGTATATTGAAAAACAATGACAAAACATTAACATTATTTCTAAAATTTTGATTGTATTTGAATTAAATGACAGTATATTATGTTCCTGTTTTCTGCTTACTGCGCAATAATGTGTTGCAATATTGTTTTTCATTCCATTTGTTCAGAAATAAAACCTGTCATTGACAGTACAAATGTACTCACATAAGTTATTTATTTTCTTCAAAATTGCTTTCTTGACAAACGTCTAAAAAGATGCGTTGTTTTAATAAAATAATTAGAAAACATATGTTTAATTGGATTCTTTAACAGAAATAGAATCATTTCACAGAAATAAATATTATTGCAATTTTTTTCTATTAAACATTTTAAGGTCTTATGATTGTGATGTCATGTGAACATAAATTTAAAAATTTCGTTTTTTAATTAAAAATGATTTCTTTTTGACAAAATAACAATTGTAAGAAAAATTATAACATTTTAGTCCCATGAGCTGTTTTCATATAAATGTAAAAAAAAAACATTAACATTTTAAATCTTAGAGGAATAATTTCAATTATACGTTTTTCTCTTCTAATTCATATTCTTGACAAATCGATTGTCATAATGATATAATGAACCTGTTATACAATTTTTGTTGTGTTTTGAAGTTATAACCTTCCGTATACAAATGTCTATGACAATATGTAGACGTAAATACAGAATATAAAACCCTGCAAACTTTTCGGCTAATACTTCAACTGCAACGTTTGTCACGTTTATTACGCATGTCACACAAGTAAGTGTTCCATAGAAAATGTAAAGTTCGAGGTGTTACAAAATGAAATCTTGAAATATCAAACTTCTTGAAATTATGACAGAACTCATAAACAACCTAACTCCGATTTCCTTTTTCTTTTCATTTTTTCAACTTCAATTATTTTTTCAACTGTTCTTTTAGAAGATTTAACTGTGTGAAGACAATTCGCCTTAGGTTATATTTGATAAAATTCAGGCAATTAGTTCATGATCTTTTAATGAACTGCTGCTCAAACTTGATTTCATTGGTTTTAATCTGTTCTCAGAGACACTAACTAAAATAAACGACTGGCCTCGAGCAAACCTGCAGTCAAGAGTTATATCTCTCCTTGCTGAATGATTACGTATAACGTTGTTAAGTAACTCAAATCATAATTTACAATAAATTAGCAATTATTTTTGTAATTAAAGTAGAAAGGATTTCCTCATTAAGAGAGAACAAATTTCTACTGCAATACCCATCAGCCCAATCTGTCTTGTTTAATGGCTCAAGAAAATTGCCTGCAATAAAACTGCACTACAATGATTGCTTTGAAGTGCTCCGTTTTATTCCATCGATCTACAATATCATAACATCTTTCTCTACTTCTCCTTTTTTGTCTCTTCAGTTCTTACATTAAAAGCAAAAACATGCTTTAAGTCAGACAAGACGTCAAACTTTTTTACATTTGACGTTGTGCATATATGTTGTACAAAGATAGAATGGACGAAAAAATCTTACTTATTGAGCATGAAAAATTTGTTTCCATCCCTCCGTATGCACGTGCCTTTTCGTGACATACTTTTAGCGGAAATTTCTGTGCGGCGTCCCTCATGCCACCTATCCCGCCATTCTTCCGGAAAAACACAATCTGATCCTGTAATAGAGATTAAATAAATAAATAAATAAATAAATAAATAAATAAATAAATAAATAAATAAATAATAGATACATCAATTAATCAACCAATCAATAATCATTTGTCTTAGTTGAAAGTATTTTAAAGGTAACTGTTCGTTTTTGTTACCTATAAAATAGTCTTTTATAACAATTAAAATTCTTATTCTTAACTGCATATTATATAATAAGGTGGTCGTTAAAGAGTTCGGTAAGACAAATGATTTTAGGGGTAACTCGTATTGACTGAGATTATTAATAATTGCTTGAAATCCCGTTCTCATGCTGTGTTGACGAATTATGCAAATGTTGCTTGTTTCTGGTATGTATAGTGTTGTATAGCTGTGATTGTTGTTAAAATTTTATATCTGAGATTCCTATGACGAATTTTCGCATTGAATTAAACTCTATGCTACCGCAATATCTTAAAATTGACTATTACAATACTGTTTGAAAGTACACATATAGAATAAGTTCCGTTTAGTGCTTTTTCATTAATTAAGTTTTCGTCTTATTTCTTATGTTTTGGTTGTCATTTTTTTAAAACAAAATACATAGAAGTATTTCACACAGACAAATATGTTTTTACTTTCATTTTTACATTGCCATAAATATGTAAAAATGTAGGTGTTGCAAGATTTACTTAGATAAAATATCAGTTCTATTCTGTTTAATCTGGGAAATAATGTTTCATAACCTCTCTAATTTATAATTGAAAGCCGGCAATTTTGGAGACGGTTTGACTTCAACTTATCCTCCCCAATGATTTTGGCTTCTAACTTTGAGAGAATACATGAAATTGAACTAAAAAACAACAAAAACAACAACAGAGTTTTTACGATTTGGCTCACCAGAAGCGTTGCCAAATTGTAGTGTTTAATGAATTTATACGAGCAGTGAATAGTAAAAAACAAATTTATCTGGAAGTTTGACATAATTTGCAGCTTAAACTGTCTCAGTTTTCAAGTCAACTGCCATTATTTTAGGATGTTTCTGTAAGTGACAAAATGGAATGACATAGAAATGCACGGCTTTCACAGGTTTGATGAAAGCGAGACACGTGGCGCCAAATTCGTTATATAACTATTAAATATTTTGTAGAGACGAATGCGGATGTTTTATTCCAAGTTTCGTCGGAGGCTTACGGCAACTTCTTCGTTAATGGTATAGAAGAAAATCGCTCTACCTCTATATTGTTATAAAATTACTGTTCCACAAGCGCGAAGTAGTCAATGACAAAAAGCATCTCGCAGACTACGGGCATTTTGTCATAAACTAATGACGTGCATAAAGCCAACAACAACAAGCTATGAATGTTTTATGATAATTCTATAAAACCAGATATCTAAACCAAGCATGGTAACACATCATCAATCAATCTATTAAAAGTAGGAGCAATCTCCCGGGGAATCAATGAACCAGTACACCGCTACAAAAAATCTCCTGTAAATTGTGTGTTTAGACAAAAACGCTAGCTAAGTATGATACATATTATCAGAATTGTTCCAACAGATTTCATGATTTAGCACTTGTGAGTGGCTGTCTATGTTTATAGGCTATAATGGGCTAATGTTGGGTAAATGTTAGCTGTTTTTACGGGGAATTATCAGCCATTGCCTCATTCATCTAAGATATTTATATACGATAATAAATGTTTTGTTGGTACGAGTAATTTATAACCATTTTTATTACCCTTATAAATAACTTTGACGTCCATTCTAGCGCCATATCCGAATAAAACTGCAGAGAAAATGCAATATCTTATGCTTAAATATTTAAAGATTTACAGCTGATGTAAAGATGATGATATTTTGAGTTTATACCTTATTGTTTAATTTAGCATAGACTTAATACGCTATATAATAATGCTATTGCAAAACCTGGTGTGGTATAAAACATCAAACAAAGCAGTGAAATGATGATGATGATAATAAACTTCACGCAAGATTTATGATGCATTTTTTTCTCATGAAGTATATAGGTTCGTATTCAAACATTGGGCGTTTCTCGATATTTTGTTCCATTCTTTGAGGTAACACCTCCCTCGTTAAGTACCAATATATACTACATTGTACATATAAATCGAATTTGAACTCATCTTTACTTCCGTTATTTTTCTATTTTATTTTTCAATAAATTACAATATATAATAAAGAACAAACCGCTCTGTTTAAAGAGCAGTACAAACAGCAACTAGTTAACAATTATTCTTATTATAATAAACAAAATGATATGATGTGTAAAAAGCATATGCCGCTTCTTGAAAAAAAGGGGCGGGGTTTAAGCCCCTCGCGACTTTGGTGATAGATAAATTGTCACTTTTATTGTGTACTTATCAAGCATAACCAGTATCTATTTCTTCAATGCTTTAATAACATTACAATGTATGTTATTTCTTGATTGTTTTCAATTATTGAAGCACCTAAGTTGCTTTATTAATAGCAATTAAGGTGATATGATGGTCCTACAAGCGTATCTGACACTTTGATCTGCTTGTACAACAAGATATAATTTATTGTTCAGTCAATCATTGAATCATGAGAAGATCTGGAAAGATGAGAACAAGTACAGCGTTCATAGTTCCAATAAAGCTATCGGTGGACACGAGGCCGACAGTAATTATGAAGTATATAACAAGTAATTGAATTGCTGTTAGAAATGGTTTCTGGTCAAATAGATGAAACCTTATTGGCCACTGATGACACTATGATTGAATTGAGCCTCTATATTTGCCCTCGCTGTTTCATGCAATAAATAACCATGGCGTCAAAATTTGTATTTTATCTAGATACAAAAGCCCTTGGATGACATATAAAATTTATATCTTCTATTAACATCTCCGGAATGTTTAATAGGGAACATTTGTGACATAGAAATATCACATATAAATAATGAAAAAAGTAAGATAAGAAACCGATAGTTGAACTTTTACGACATCTCTCCAAAGATACTTGTATGCTCTCAATTTCTGTTTTTAATTTCGCCATCTGGTATTTAAATCAACAGATAATGATTGGAATTGTTTTATTATGCATTGTACATGACGGCTTTGAGACAGAACGATCTTGCAGCAGACGATCAATAAAATCAATTAAGGTGCACAGTCTGAGAGTGCGTGCTAGCATTTCCATTACTTGAAATGAATTTTACGAATTACAATACATGTTGCAAATTTTACGTCAGTTAAAATGTTAAAGCAAAGGCAACAAAAAAGCGGTTGCCGACAGCTTGGATGGCGAATTTTAAAAGCACTAATTCAGTGTGTGTAAATTAAGTTCACTTAACTTGTTTTCGTTATTCTACTTCCATTTCTCGGTATTGCACCAGCAGATACATTTATGTCGGTATGGTAGACTACATTTACATTGTTCACCATTATAAATGCAACACAAGCCTGAATACCTAGCGAGAAAAGATGCTTGTTCAATGCAAATGAGTGCGAGGTTTTTATTCAACTGATTAGAAGTTTATTAAAATATCACGGCGACTGAATGTTTAAAAAACTAGAAGCACTCGTTAACATGTCGGCTGCTTTTTCAAAGAATTCATTCCGCTAATGACATAAACGTACGATCGATCTTTTCTATGAGTCGATTACCGCTGAACCACAAGGAACAAGTTTCTTGGTGCACTGGACAAAAACAGAGGAAATCGAACATGGAGCTTATTGTAACGCCCGGGTTGATTTCTAAACAAGCGCCCCGGATACCCAGTGCGTTAGCTCTTTGAAGTCTGAAAACAACAAAACGTGTATCAGGCGAAACATCGTTTCCAAACGAAAGGGCGTAAATATGAAATAACGCAATGTGAGGTAAAGTGTATTGAAGGATATAATCCCATTATTGCATCTTATAATAATGTCTTTATAAATGTATTCTAAACAAATTTCCATCTCAATTATTAAGAAATTTTAGGGAAAAAAAGAAAATGATGTATAAATCTTGATTAAATTCAAGGATGAATAAAATCCCAAAATGTAAGTTACTGGTTCATTTCATGAAAACATTTAAGGAAAAATAATTCCTTCATTTGGTTAAAAAGGAACATTGTAGACTAAGATAATAATCCCTGTATAAATAGAATCGTCGTCAGAGATTTCGGAGAGAACGTATCAAATTAGGTCTAAATTCCTCATAAGTTTTAGACGTACAACATTGCAAATGACGATTCCTGTTCATTAGCTGAAGGAATTAACCCCTGCCAGCATCAAGTTAGATCAATAAATGGGAGCATCACACTATATTGACATGTTAGAAAAGAACTTCTGTAATACCAATGCTTGTTGTCTCATTGACGTAAAGAGTAATTCGAAATAAACGAATTCGTAATTGCAACACGACCATCGAATACCTAGCGTGACTTAACGCTGCAACTGGATACGGTGTGTACATAAATAACACCCTCGTTAATTATGAATCATTTCTACGCAATGGAAAGACCAAAACAGCATTGCCTCCTATATTTTTTTACAGTCAAAGAGTGTTGGCAGAATATTAAAAATGTATCTGCGGAATGTATAGTTTCTATGTATTAATCTACTAGCTACAATGTAAGGTGGACATGGTGAGGTTAATTTCATAAGTGATAACTTACTGGTAGCTACAGAGTATTCTGTTGTGTTTATGGTTATCGAACGTAACACGTGCAGGAATATGGAGCACGAGTCAATTTGTGATTTATGATCCTCTTGCTTACGAAAAACGAATCATTAAGGTTGCCAATGTTTTCTATTAACAGCGTTATAATAAAGATCTTAAGCGAAAAAAGAATAATAATTTTGCCAAAACTTTGTTTCTATTTCTACATCTTAGAATCTGCTGCGTTCCAAATAATATTACTTAAAATGAATACAGTAAACTGGTAGTGTGTAAACCAGTTAATATAGCTATTTTCTTCACCTACTTTCTTTCTCATATTTGTTATTTATACGTCAATTTGTTTTCGTAAAACTGATACATTATTTTTTCATTCTCGCATCGA